CGCCGCCGCTGCCCGCCGCCACGCCGCCGTCGCCGGACACCGCCGCGCCTCGTTTTTCGTGCCTTCGGTTTAAAAAAACAATCGGTTTTCGTCAGTTTTCGTCGGTTTAATAGATTCGGTTTTTTTTAAATAGATCGGTTTTTCCAGTTTATTTATTTTTAGCGAGCGTTCGTCGTTTTTCTTTTTCTCGGATTAAATCCGCGATTTTTCTGATCGCGATTCCTGATCCGATTTTTGTTTTAGTTTAACTTTTCGCTCGTTTATCGGAATCAGGCGATTCAAGCGCCTAGAGTTTCGTCTCGAAACCCTCTACCCGTTTAACCAACTTAAACAAGATTTTGCTACTGTAAAATTTGCCCTAGATCGATATTACTAGAACGAAGTTGTTTTCTTCCGCCGTTTGACTTTCGTTGCTTCGTTCAATTTGATTCTTTTTGCCAACCGGAGTTCTTAAGTTGAACATTCTGGTTAGATCTCTTATTTGAGTTTTACATGTGCATTAGTTGAGTACTTATTGTATGTTTGTTTGTTTGTCTGCGATAGAGTATCTGGAGTGTGCCGCCTGTTACTTCGAATCGCTAGGTTTCCCGGATCATCGGCAAGGCAAGTAACACTTTGATCATACCTTTTTCTACATCCCAGTTTTATTGCATTAGATCAATCCTCACTCATTGCATGATTAGGATCTAATTAAATTATGGGATGGGAAGTAGATGAGGTAGTACCTATTACCTGTTTATTATCAAACCTTTGGGAGTTACTTCTACGTTTGCTTATTATGCCATGCTATGCTAGTAGACGTGGATTGAGTGAGTGCTATCCATGACAGATGTGAGATTGATAATTAATGGTTTATCTAAGGTGGCAACTTAAACACACATCTGGGTGGATTGAGGCACCTGGGTATTCCAGGACTTGCCTGTTTTCTTTTGGACCGCCACCCAGGCTCAAAGGAATCATGAGACTATTCATACTAGAAACTTCCGTGTGCAGCCACAAGCTATTATGGGCTCTAGCATAGTACTAAATTGTGCGAACTCTTACAGTGGTAGACTAGCAGATGTAGGGGATGTAGGTGGTACGGTCTACCCGATCATAAGGTGCTAGCACTTCTGAAAGACTATGTCTCGGTCATCCGTCTTCTCAAACACCATGTAGTGCGGGAAAACAAACGGAGGCGATCGAGTCTTGTGGGGAAAAGTGCGTAAACCTCTGCAGAGTGTAACAAACTAATCATGGTTAGCCGTGTCCCCACTTATGGACCTCTTGAGTATCTAGTACTTGGATTATCATGTGAATCTCAACATGTTACTCTAAATTAATTTTGTTGGGTTATGTTTAATGATGATGCTTAATTGGGATTGAGAATGCTGTCAACCATTCTTAATGTTTAACAACCACCTTGATAGTAATTAAAATTTTATTCCTTTGAAGTAGGGAAAAATTGGCTTTACGCAAAACTGTAACCATAGAGCTTTCCACCAGCCAAATATGCATATAGTATAGCTGTTTCATTCCATTACTCTCTATGTGTTACCTTGCCAGCATATTCCATGTGCTGACCCGTTTTCGGGCTGCAACGTTAATGTTGCAGACTTTTCAGACGACGATTAAGGAGTTTTTAGGTCGTGGTTCTATACTCAGTGATGCCGTTGGAGTTGATGGACTCACTTATCTTCCAAGCCTTCCGTTGTTATCGTTATTAGATGGCCTTAAGCCATATTTATTGTAATAAGTTCTTTTTTGAGACATTCGATGTAATAAGTGTGTGATTGCTACTTTGCTACAAATCCTTCGAGTACTGTGTGGTGTCAGCATTACTGATCCAGGGATGACACCGGAGCATAGAGATCAGACTGTTTGAGGTCTGGTCGCTACAGAGATGGTATCAGAGCACACGCTGACTGTAGGACACGACCACTAAGCTAAAGACCTAGATCACTACTCACTCTCTTCTCTTCTGACCTCTCATCTTTTCTATTCTTTAGGATGGTGGATGCAAGGAACAAGTTCACACAACCGGATGAAGATACACCCTTTGGACGTCACTTGAAGGAAGTCACTAGATACCTGAACATAGGAGTACCAAGCTTCACGAGAACCTACAACGCCACTTTACCTGAAGAAGAGCGCTGGATGATTCAAGTTCAAGTTTCAGGAAGGACGTTCATGCCAGTCACTGAGCCCATAGAATTTTCTTTTGATGCACCAACTTGGAGTCTAGGAAAGAGCATGGCAGCTCACATCACCATGGGACGCATTGGAGAAATCTACCGCAAGGATCTCAGGGATACTATCTACCAGATTTGTGGGCGCCGAGATGAACACTGGGAGATGATTAGCATCAGGAAGGATAGATCAATTGCAGCTTTTATCCAGGAGCTAAACCAGCACATTCGACGATAGGAGAACCAGATGTGCGCCGACATGATAGATCTGAAGAAGGCTAAGACTAGAATCGAGGAACTGGAGGAAGAACTCAAGGCTACATGTGAAGATTATGAAAAGGAAATTGAAGTATTGGTGGATAAGAATGACGACCTGATCAAGAAGATTGGAATATTTATGGGAGACCCGACACCCGTAGATGAAGACAAAGAACCTAAGAAAATTAGCCCGGAAGACTACATCATCATCGACGGCACCGACTCGGAAGCAGATAGTAGCGATGATGACTATGTTGATGAAGCTGGAGCAGATA